TTTCAATAACAGAGTGGGAAATAATAAAACGGAAGAAGTGTGTCCCCTCCGAATCAAATAGGCCATGCCTGAGATTTTATGTAGGGGGGGGGGTGGGCGTTTCGCCATCAGCGACCTTTTTCAATCCTGTACTCCACCTCTTACCAAGACCCTGGCTGTGCCTCTGCTCCCACTGCGATCTCTGAAGCATTCTTCCACACCACCTCTTACCAAGACCCTGGGTGCCTCTGCTCCCCACTGCGAACTCTGAAGGCATTCCTCCACACCACCTCTTACCAAGACCCTGGCTGCGCCTCTGCTCCCCACTGCGAACTCTGAGGGCATTCCTCCACACCACCTCTTACCAAGACCCTGGCTGCGCCTCTGCTCCCCACTGCGATCTCTGAATGCACTCCTCCACATCTACGCAGATATTGCGTTTCCCGTGCTAAATTACAACGCTGCTGCTGATGGGCACCGCATATCGTTTCTTGCTTCATAACAAACGCGCAGGTGATCTCGGACAAATGCCAGATATATACATGTAAGCAGATACGGACGCCGGCTCAGCCTTGTAATCTTTTCATAGACTTGCTTCTCTCGGTCCCAAGATAGGTGTATAAGCTGGGGAGGGAAGGGGCAGATGATACCTTTTGATGTCATTGCTTATATTGTTGCAATCATTACTGACAACGCACCTCTAAAATACGTGCCTGACTAAGACTCGGTGTAGGAGCAGGGCGTATGCTTGATACATTATGAACTGTGAATATGAGGAACTGTGGACATTATCGACTGTAGACATTATGGACTGTGGGCAATGTGAACTGTGGGCATTATGAACATATATACAATATATATATATATATATATATATATATATATATATATATATATATTCTCCCATATCTATACCACCCTAGGTCGCACCATACACTTGGCACAGCTTTCATGACTCAGACCTCTCCTATCATTGAGCGGTTACACGCCGACGCATGCCTGGCATGTCTCCACGCCACCATGCCCTTTTTGCACACCAGCTCCGCCCTGTACCGGCTGTCACGTGACCACCTCAGTGTAGCCGCGGACACGGCTGTCGGTTTCATGCAAAGTCGAGCTTATTCCTGTACAGCTGGCTTTCATCTGTCATATGCAGAGTCGACTTAATTTCAGTCGGTTTTGTTTCAGATCTTTTGTTCAGAGTTGGCCTCTTTCAGTCGGGTTTATTCAGAGTCGGGCTTTGGGAGGCCGTGGAAGATTCACTTTGGAACAATGGTGCTGAACCGTGTTTTAAATCGAAGGAAATGACGTGACGGCGCTTGGTGACGCCTCTCTCCCATAGGGCCGAAGTTTTTCACCCTGGCGGATGCAGGCAGAACTAATTAGTGGACATTATGAACTGTGAATATGAGGAACTGTGGACATTATCAACTGTAGACATTATGGACTGTGGGCATTATGAACTTCCCCCACACGCCTCTCCTTTCATCAGTCGCCAGGTCACTCCTCGTTTTACCTACTCCAAAGCTGCACGCACATAATTTCGCCTCTGCATTGCTGTTGCTGCTTGCATTTACATTTTTCGCCCCGCCCCCCTCCCTTCTGTCTCTCTATTTCTCTCTCATCTCCCCTCCCCTCTTCAATTTCAACTGTCTGCTTTCCGCCCATCGCAGCAGCAACACCCCTAATCAATCTCCAGAAGGCGTCTCGCTCACCCTCCGCCCACGTCCCCAGGGCCTACAGCTTCCACGTGTCGGCCGATGGCCAGATGATGCCAGTGCCGTTCCCCACGGACGCGCTGCTGGGACCGGGCATCCCGCGCCACGCGCGCCAGATCAACACCCTGAGCCACGGCGAGGTGGTATGCGCCGTCACCATCTCCAACCCCACCAAGTACGTCTACACGGGCGGCAAGGGCTGCGTCAAGGTGTGGGACATCAGCCAGCCGACGGCCAAGTCGCCCGTCTCGCAACTGGACTGCCTGGTGAGTGCCAGTCGTGCCTCCGATACAACGGCGGGCCCAGGACGGGACGGGAGGGTGGGGGGTGGTATACCACCTCCCCCCAGGTCAGTCTCTCCATCCCTGTCCCAAGTCAGTCTGGCCAAAAATGTACGGTTTCTGGGCTTGTTTCGACTAAGTATCTAAGCAAACTTACGACGGAAGTCTGTTTTTTAACATTCCATGTGGGAAAAGGAAGCCAAATCCGTTGAGTTTTGAAAGTCGTGACACTTTTTCAGACTTACCCCAGGCCGATGTTATCCTCTCCCCTCTCCCTCCCCAAGCGGCTTTCTGGCTTTGCCCTTTTGCTGACGGGCGGCGGGCTTGGAAATGTTAAATGCGATGACCGCCAGTAGAGGACAGAGTTGATGCTGATTGTCAGAAAGTCACCGGCAGATGTCGCTGCAGAGATCAATGAGTAGCCTGAACACCTTCTCAGAAGGACGATTCCATTATAAATGTATTTACGCGGGAGACAAACTGGTCTGAAATCCTAGAAAGTGATTCCAAGTAGTAAATATACCCTGCCTGCTTTTCATTATCGCTTCGACATATGCACTCGAACGACTGGCCTTGTCTGCCCTTGTCCAGAGGCGAGTGCGACACCCGCTGACAGAGCACCGTCCCGTTTCAGCAACGCGACAACTACATCCGCTCTGTGAAGCTGCTGCCGGATGGCCGAACCCTGATGGTGGGGGGCGAGGCGAGCACGCTGAGCATCTGGGACCTGGCCGGCCCCAGCCCGCGCATCAAGTGCGAGCTGCCGTCGTCAGCGCCGGCGTGCTACGCGCTGGCCATCTCGCCCGACTCGAAGGTGTGCTTCAGCTGCTGCAGCGACGGCAACATCGCCGTCTGGGACCTGCACAACCAGCAGCTGGTGCGCCAGTTCCAGGGCCACACGGACGGCGCGTCCTGCATCGACATCTCGTCCGACGGCAACAAGCTGTGGACGGGCGGCCTGGACAATACGGTGCGCTCGTGGGACCTGCGCGAGGGCCGCCAGCTGCAGCAGCATGACTTCAGCTCGCAGATCTTCTCGCTGGGCTTCTGCCCGACCGGCGAGTGGCTGGCCGTCGGCATGGAGAGCTCCAACGTGGAGGTGTTGCACGTGAACAAGCCCGACAAGTACCAGCTGCACCTGCACGAGAGCTGTGTGCTGTCACTGAAGTTCGCCCAGTGCGGCAAGTGGTTCGTCTCCACCGGCAAGGATAACCTGCTGAACGCCTGGAGGACGCCGTACGGGGCCTCGATATTTCAGGTATCTTGACAGGATCTAGCGGCGTCATGGACAGGCGTTGGCATTTATGACGTTCCGGCGCCGTGGATCGTTTTTTGTCGTCAGTTTGGGTCGTTATCTGTCAACAGTGGCTGGTCGAAGAGACGGCAATCATCCCACCTTAAGCCCGTTAACCTGCAGATTAGACTGGCATTTTAGGAAGATATGTGCTTCTTAAGTATTGTATACATATGTGACGAATGGGATAAGATCAACTTCCATCTAAATTAGCATGATTTCTGATCCTCCCTTGGATGCCATACAATCTGGTGACCGCACGCGTGAACTTTTCTCAATTTTTTCTCCCGTGGCGTGTACATAAAAGGCGGCTGGCATACCCAATGACGTTCGTTCTGAGCGGCCTCGCGTGACCAGAATGTTTCCGGATGGTGGCCGCCGCCCGCGGCCCCCATCCTGCAGTCTTAGACTGCACCTGCTCAGCCCGCTGCCCGTGTTGCAGTCGAAGGAGTCGTCGTCGGTGCTGAGCTGCGACATCTCGGCCGACGACAAGTACATCGTCACCGGCTCCGGCGACAAGAAGGCCACCGTCTACGAAGTGATATACTAGACCGGGTGGCGCGTACCTACTGTCGGTGCCGGCAGAGACATCTAGTGGCACCGCGACGAACCACACCAGTGATACCGCGCGAGAATATCTAGTCCGGACGTACAACTCTCACCTTGGATGGATTCTAATCAAAATGCGTCCTATTTTGTCGGTCAGAATGCGGCGTCGGTGGGTGCATGCCGAGAGGCGTGACTTTGGTGGGGTTTCTCGTTGTTATTTACCTCTTCTTGGATGTCAGTGTCCGTGTAACCATACAGTGTTTTCTGAGCGTTGCGTGTTGCCTGAGGCGCGCCGTCGGACGCCATGACAGTCTGCCATGGCGCGCCGCCGCGAGCCCAGCTAGCATACTGCGAGCGTGGACGGTGGCCGTTGTACAGGGAAATTTCAGTCCTTGACACATTTGAATGTGGTATATTGGACGTTGATACCACCGCACAGCACCCGGAGCGCCTGTGCGGTGTCTCTGTGTCCCGGCAGCCGGCTGGCGGGTGTGTGTGTGCGGTGTGCGGTGTGGCTGTCCCCCTAGCGTATCTCTGTGTACCCTCCCGGTCCTGCGTCACCTGCGCTTACTGCCGCCGCCAGTGCACCTCGCCGGCGTCGGCTTGTCGTGGTAGATGAGCAGGGACTAGTACAAAATACCGGCGCAGCGTCTCGGGGCCTGGCCCACCCTCTCGCTGTCCGCACCCCGGCGTGATCAGACGCGCCGCCACGGCCGTCGGTCGGGGCACGCGACCAGCGGCGTCAACACCCGATCACCACGCGCCAAGATCGATGGCCACCGCCTGCAGCCCCCTCCCCCCCCCCCCCCCCGCCGCCGCGGGCGCTCCGCGGGCGGCGGCACCGTATTATATATCCGGCCCCGCCCTCGCCCCTGACCCGCCCTGGCACACACTCGGCTGCAGAAGATTGTTGAGTTATTTTAGATGTGTCGCTCGGTGGTCGCCAGGCCCCCTGGCCCGTGCCAATATAATGGAGACACAGAGACGCGTTTTTGGCGTGGTGACGGCTGTCGCGCCCCCGTCTCCCGTCCGCGGCGAGACGCGACAAGACGAGGTCGGGCGGATGGCTGACGGGACCGCCGCGAAGTGGGCGTGGCCAGGCCGGGCCGCGGTATGGCCGACTCGACGCATCGGTGCGCGTCGCTGCCGCCGACAATTCGCCGCAGCATTCAGGCCGGCTCAGAGCTCGAGCTCGGCATTCGGCGGGCGTCCCCAGCGGGACGAGGATTCTGCTGAGGCGCCCCAGGCGGCATGCGACCGGCTCTACTTATCCCAGGCGGTTAATGGCGTTTGCCAGCCGCGGGCGGCCGTCGGCGGCGGGCTTCAAATGCCGCAGCGCTCGCGCTGTCTTCCAAGGAGCTCCTCCGTCACACGGATCTCATCAGTCGGGCTGGCAGTGGATTCGCCGCTCTTTCACGCTCTGGCGCCGCCGCCGGCTGTCGCCATCATTCAGCCGAATTACGGACTCGTCTTCTGTTCATGAAGCGAGACAACTCTGGCGCGGCCGAGTCACATCCGGGCGAGGTAATTATTTGACGCTCCGGGGAGCGAGTGGCTTGATGCATAATCAATACGGGCTCTGCCGTCTGCCCGTCTGCCGAGCTACGAGTGAGCATTTCGGCTACTGTCACCTTTAGTTCAGGCCGCCGCCGCCGTCCGACGAGTCCGATATTCTGCCCCACGTGTTGTCCAAGCCAAATGACCACCGCCGTCGGCGGCGACTCGAGCAAACTTTGAATTGTTAAAAGCATCCGTTTGATGACCCGCTCGCGCTTGTGGAGCACAGCAAACATCGACCGGCATTACTCGCCCGGTGGAACTGCCGGCCACTGGTGGCATCCCCGCGTTGGCGCCGACCAACCCTTTGTTCGCTGCGGGTGGATTTTGCCCAGAGAGCTGGGGACGCGATCAATACAGAGAACAGGCCGGGACGAACTGCCAGACGGAAGAACCATTGATTGGTTGCGTGCAACCATCTTTTTGGGGTGTTTTTGCGCAAAATGCCATTTATTTTGTTGACCGACACACCCCACGTGGATGCGTAAATGTTGTACCACCTCTGATTGGTCGTGATCCCCACGTGGAGAAAGCCCATTGGTTGGCCTGTACCACCAATTGTGAGGTAGGTTACTTTCTGCTCCTTCCCACGTGGGGTAGATGGGGCCATTCTGAGACGAATGAGGGAAGGAAAATTGGGAATCTGGCCGGGTGTATCTACGCAAAACTTCCAGATGGAGGAGGGATCGTGCGGCCGGGTCGGACCGTTCCGGGCGCAGATGCCGGCGTCACAGGCCGCCCCGGGCGAGCCGCATGGCCGCACAACGGCGCGGGAACCGGTAACGTTTTGAACCGCCGATGCGTTACCTCGCCGGGGGGCTGCGGCGCCGGCGGCATGGGTACGGCGGACAGACTGCTCTGCGTCGGCCGGTTTTTACACCTGGATCATCTCGGCGGTCGTAAAAAGCCGCCGGCGCGGGCGCGACGCTCGCGCTGCGTGGAAGGATCGACCGTCCGCGGTCGGCCGCCGCCGGCGACCGTGATAGGGGTAACGGCGTCATTCGGTGCCGCCGGCCGCCGTGGAGGCGATCCTGGCGCGCCGCCGGGGTGAAAGGAGACGAGGTGTGGCGCGCCGCGCCGCCAGCTGGCGGCGGACGCGTCGCGGTGCGCGCGGTGGGCACCCGGCCCGCCAGGCCCGGCATGAATCACGGGTGGGGACGGACTTTGTTGGAGGGATCGACTGACCTTCCTCTCCCCCTCCATCCACAGGCGCCGCGCGGCGGGGACTCGACGCTCGGTACCAGTCATTCAATAGATACAGCTGCCATCAAAATACATTGCTAATTGGACTTTAGAGTCGGGCCCAACGTGTATGCCATAATAACATTAACCTCTCAGCGCCGACTGGCGCGCTATTTCTTCTGTTCAGATACGGCGGGACCAACGGAGCGGAACAAAAACGCTGGCTGCTGACTGGTCGGCCGCCCACCAATGAGAAGCGGGCACCGCAGCCCACGTGGGCGCGAGCCACACACCGGCCCGCACACGAAATGATTCGGAATGAAACTGAAGACCCGGGGAGGACATGATTTATAATAGGGTCAGCTGGGACCGGAGAGGGGACGGAACCGTGGTGACCGGCGCTGGCCCCCCGCGCGAGGGGACCCGTTTCCGCCCGACGCGTACCAGGCGCGCCGCGCCGATGCCGGTGGACGACGCCTCCGTCTGAACCGCCGCGCTGCTGAACCACAGGTCGATGGCGGTGGCCGGCGGCCGCGGCGGCGCGCGATGCGGGCCGATGCTCAGAAGCAGGCCGCCGCCGGTAATTGTTGTCATCGTTGAGTGGGATTTTTGACGGCGGCCGCCGGCGCGCCGCCGGTGTGCCGCAGAGGCGATCTTTGTGCTCGGCGCGGAACCAGTCATCATCGTAACCGCCGGCTGTCGGTGCTCGCTCCCACGCACAATAGGCCGAATAATGGACTTTTTACTCGTCCACGGTGCCGTAATTTTCGAATCACTCGGGGCGTGTAATCACAATCGAGCGTGACCGCCGGCGCGGCGCACTCTCCGAGCAGCCGGGGGCCGCTTTTTGTCCGGCAGCCAGCGGTCTCAGCGATTTGTTTTTGCCGCCGAAGCCCGCGGGCGGCCGCCGACGCACCGTTTGTTTTCGTTAGCGAGCGGGCACCTCCGCCGAGGAGATTTACGTTGCAGGGGAGCGCGGCGCGACATAATGATCCCGTCATTGGCGAGTTAGCCGGGGATTTTTGTCGGGGTCGCCCTCAAAGCGAGCTGTCTGAGTGCATGGTTTATTCAGTGAGGGGAGCCCCGATAAAAAGCGAGGGTGCTGCTGACGCAGAAAAATCGCAACGCCTCCAACTGCCGGCCGCCGAAGACGCCCAGCTTTCTTTGAACGCCCACCGACGCCCCCCGAGACGGAACTGGAAAGCCGGGCCTGTTTGCTGTACAAGCGCGAGGAAACGTTAGAGTCCACAGCTGCGCGCGGCCCGTGTTGACATTGAGTGCTTCAAACGGAGAGGCACCTGAGAAGTGAAGCGGACTGATGGCCGGGTCAGGCGGCGCCAGCTCGAGACGCTGATCGCTCGAGGGATGCCATGACGCGGGAGAGGGGGGAGGGGCGACGCATTGGAGCTGATGGCGACGATAAGCTCGGGAGGCCGCGAAGGTGGCGCGCGCACACACACGTTGAGCATACAGACATGATGGCTCGACGGTTGGGCCTTAGTTCTGCTGTGGCGGCGCACAGTGGGAGTAGATAGCCTGCCAGCCTGCTCCGTTCATCCCACGATATGGCCTGCGAGTCACAGCCCCATCAAACGTCCTCCATTCTCCTACCAGGGTGTATCCTTCATTCTCATCAGGATACCTTTCTTTGCTACCGCCTGACACGTGTATAGTCACATTTCTAAGAATCGGGGCGAGATGGAGGGGTGGTGGTGGGGGGGTGGGGGGTGGGGCATCGAGAACAAACTGGCATCTGGCAGGGGACAACCTGGATTGATAACGTGACCTTGTAGTGGGCTACCGTGAAAAACGTTGCATTGTACCGACCAAAATTGAGGGGCAAAATTCCCTGCCTTAGCAAAAATTGGGAGAAAGTCCCCCTTTGTCCCCTGGTGGGTGCACCATGTTGCCTGGTATGCGAGCCCGCTGACCGCCCGTCTGTGGACGTTACGTATATGGGAATAATTGCACCGACACTTCTAGAGCATAGAAGCATCAGTGCAGCTATGCCGACTTCGTCATAAAACGCAAAGCCATTGTTTAAGACCATTGTAAAGGTTAACAATAATGATTGATACAAAAAAAGTGTGATCGAGGCCGCAGCAGGGAGGGAATTTTTCTAAACGATTCCCATGATGCCAATTTTAGAGTAAATAGTTACGCATGAAGCGAAGAGTACCGCCACTCAGGGCGTCGGTGACGCAGTGGTTAAATTATGCGTTTGGAGAACCTGAGGTACGCGGTTCGATTCCTGCGGCGACTGTCCTTCAGTAGGCGAGAGGCAGGGAGTGCCGTATGGCCTCAGCTGCTGAGTGCCTCGTAAAGCCACATTGACGCACAAGGACCCCCGTTCGAAGCATGGTTTGCTTAGGCCCACGCCATGTTTGTAGAAGGTAATATCCT